CTTTTTGCTGTTGGGAACATATTTTACTTCGAGCCATGTCACGTTTCCGTGGCCCAACCTGCATCTCTTTAGAACTTAGATACGCTATTCCTATCACCAATTTACCTGCCTACTTACTGTACACAATACTTTTACACAGCCGAAGGACCCGGTGCTGACCGTGCGTCGTACTGCCTCTTTTCATTGGGATTATTCCATCGTAATTCATGTCATTTAATTCTTGTCGTCTGCCTTTGTTCTCTGACAGTTATCTATTACTCAGTGTTTTCCCAATTTCGTTCCATTTCATTGTTCCCTTCGGATCTTGGCACTCCGGTAGCGTTTCCTAATTCTCTGTCCGAAGATTTCCTTCTTTGCATTCATGGTTTCGGCGAGATTCAACGCACTGCGAATGCCACGCACTAATTGACTCTGTAGAACAACTTTGCGGTGCTATTACATGCATCCGCACTTCTATATCACTCAGCTCCGTAGCACTTTGAGCAACTTCCCCAGTGTGCGACATCAGGCTCGCGCAAACTGCCATCCTGAGATCGACACCATTGTGTATCAAATAGGATTCCTTGTCTAAACACCAACCAGTAGAGATTTCGCATGAAATCAGTCCTTACCGGGCCTTGTTCCTTATTCGCCGTTTCATTGTTTCGAAGTCACCATGTACTCGCTGGGATATTCCTGCTGACTTAGCTTCACTCTCTTCAGATGCCTATCTGTGCACCGATGATAGATTTAGTGGGTCTGCGTTGCATAGAGTACTACTTGCAAACACTAGAGGTTAACTAAGTAACAGGATCTCTTGTATCTAGTAGCTCCGCTCCTTATCGAGCGTGGCGGAGATGACTTGATGCACAGTGGCACTACTTTCAAGCTACTTGCTTGGGTTCAGGAAGCGATGTTTCATCTATGACTGTTTTTGATCGTGGAAATTAATGCATTGTTTAATTCGGCAGTATACTGATTCACACCGCATCTTTCACTGTGGTTACCATGCAATATTTACGAACTCTGTGCGCAGCATTATCATCGGCCCTGTCATTCAACTGGGCTCGTCAGGTTCACAGTGGTCTATCCATCAGTCAGTGCTTGGGTTGATGTGACCTACGCCTTGCATCGTCGCCCCCACATCTGGGCTGGCCACTTGTCATCGTTTTGCTCGATGCTTATGCCCGCCAAATATATCATGTATGCCTGCGCATTGGGCGAAATTCTCCCGAATACTCTTCTCCTTCAATGCTACTGCTTTGATTCCTTTTCCCAGGAGGCCACTAGTCGTTCCTATGGTGCCTTGTCTTAGCGGTTTTCTACTGCAGTTGTGGTTTCATCTTGAAGCAAATTCCTTCCCGACCTCTGGCTTAGGTACATCTGTGGCACGTGTTCCTGTACTTCTACCAATGAACAATCCTTGAACACTAAGACGCGGCTTCGCATACCCTTATAGACAAGATGCGTGTTGAAGTTGAGCGCGATGCCTCTGAAACAAACGGGTCTCACTTCTGCATGTCTCCCGGTCTTATTCATTTGTATCTACGTCAGCTTTCGGAAATACAAATGATGCTTCAAGTGATGCAACACGAACCAAACTTAACCCATCCATATGGGTCACACGTCCCCTGGTCTTTCGCCTTTTGTTCTCTACTTTATCTCTACTGGTTGGGACTGGTTTGCTCCATTATTTTCGCATACGGCTTCAGCACATGTCCCATCGAAACGGGTTCGTAGTCCGAATGCATTATTTCTCTTACCTCAGAGGTCCCTTGGACATAAATTTCGATCGTCGTCCTTTTATTCCACTTCCTGTGTTCTCGGCGTCGCGTTCTACGCACGGTTCATGCCTTTGGCTTCAATAGATTTCTGTAATCAACATACAAGCATCAGGGCTCACAATTCTTTGCTGAGGTTGTCAACACGTTTTTGTGGTTCATACTGTTCGCCTGGAATACTGTAAACAACAATTACATCAAAAAGCACCAGTTTCGCATCAGCGGGTATTTTATTGTTACCTACGGACTATACTGTGTTTCTTCTCGGCTGCGCATCATCTCGTTTAAACTTTCCCCAATCTCTCCGTCTGGCCAAGCGCTTTTTGGATGCGGCTTACTCTTTAGGTTGTTTTACCTTGTTTCTGGTTACACTAGAAAATTCACCGATGTTTCCTTTTCCTCCATCTCGGAGCCTGGGGGCAAGTAATAAGTCGCTTGATTCAGAACCACCTGCCAGAGAATGTGGGGTTGAGTTCCATTAACCAATCATTTTGTTACATGTTTTTGTCGTGAACCTAGAATAGTCACTTTATCTGCGTCAGTCACCTCGTTGGTCGCTGACTCCCCATTTGGTGATCACTCTCTGGAACCTGGATGACGCCCGCGTTGTCACATCCCGCACGGCCTTCCATGTCTTAATTCCATTGACTCTCTGCTGCTGTGCTTATTTATATTCCACGTCTATTTACCTCATGGCACCTTGGTTCCGCAACACCAACTTTCGAAACTTTCTACTGCCATTCCGTATTTACATGAGCCTATTTTTCATGATTGATTGATGCTAGTTGTGAAACGAGAAAGCCATTAAGCTTAATCTAAGCAAAGTGGATAACGGAAATTCTGCCAGTGCATAAAGATATAGTTATAAGCTGGAAACAATAAGTTGAATACAGAAAGCTAGTCGACTTTCTGAATGTACCAGCCTCGATGTGCATTTTGATCATTCGGGAAGCTGGCATACACCCACTTGATTCAGTTTTAGACTGACAACTTGTGGCTTCTTTTCCATATCATTTCGTGTACCCAGTTCTTGGCTATCATCAGCTTATCGACAAATAGTCTATTCCGATCTAGTTGCTCGGTCGGTGGATCTGTAAAGGACACAAATTAGCGAGCATGCTTGGCTTAAATCTAACGTAAAGCTGTCAGGTTTGTTGTCTAAGTCCAGTACCTGGTGCTTCTAAGCACCACTTCCTAAGCATCGGCGTTTCATGTGTAGTAACATTGGCTGATAGACTAGTATCACAACTTCTCCGCAAGTGGCTGGGGCCTTAAAATATCACACGAGCCTTGCACCTGTGTGCATTATCCTTTTCGTGGATGCAGCTATGGTTGATGCTTCAAGTAGTCAGGTAGGTGTAGTGTTAAACCACTTTCAACGGATCTTTGGTGCTTGTTAGAGTCGATGCTGAATCGACCCAGTCGTACATAAGTTCCATGCTTTACGAGCGTACGAAGCGCTCCACTTCAGGCTTCGCCATTACCTGCAGTCATCACCGGCAGATTCTTCAAGTAGTACTTTTGTGGTCTCATGATATTCCCTACCCTCGTCGCAGCGCATGATTACTCGCCTCAATATACAGCCTCTGTGTTTGGGTACCTTAGTGTTTGCCCTGCAGATTGCACGTTTTGCCTCTTAACTCTTTCCTTTGTTCTCAATTTCGTCCCGCCCCGTTTCATCATCTTACCTACGGTTTTCATGTTTATTATCGACGGTGTGTCCCTTAGCGAAGTCATTTTTACTGCTCATGGAATCATTCGTGTAGCTCACCACATCTCACTAACTGCCCGTCTTTTATTCCGATCGACTCCTTGATTCCCATAGATGTTTAATTGGCACAATCACTACTCAAAACAACGACCTCTTGTTTTTTCGCTATAAGATTGTCGGATGCAACATGTGCACACTCATAACCACATTATCTTTTCCATTTCTGGTCGCCTGCGTATCCTTTCCATTTTGATGCCTTGACTCAAACTGAGAGTTGCATCTAGGCCCCCATTGAAATCCGTATTTTAGGTGTTATATATATATATATATATATATATATATATATATATATATATATATCACAATATGTGTACATATATTGTGCCATCGGCACCATGGCGAACTAAGAAAACAGGATTAGTGTAAAAAGAAGAACGAAAACAAGCCATTTTATCCCTTTCTCATTCGCATTTTTTGCGTTTCTTTTGTTTTTTTATTGGGGGAGGGAAGGGGAATCACCGCAACAGGCAGAGATGTACGCCCGCCACTAAGTTCCGTTTCGAGCCATGACTTCCAAGGTTACCAACCAACGGCACTCAGCCTCCTTGGGACCCTATCCAGGGAGTCGGAAAGAACCAACCGAGGCCACCTTTTTCATCCTGCTTCTCCAAGTTGTAACTTGTCCACCACACCTCTTCCTCCAACCCTGTCCAGCGACCGCGAACAAGGCACGACGCGGAAGACTCTGAACAGGCATATGTAGTACGTGTCCGAGCCATCGTAGTTGGTGCAGAGACAAGCTCCTCGAGGGAGTGGCTGTCTCCACCCAAGACACACTGTCTGACTTCAACTTGGTTACGTGGTTCAGCCACCACACAAGGGCGATGGACCGCAAGCAACGGTTCTCGAAGACAGAGAGTCGGCTCAGGTCATCAGTACGAGCAGGCCAAGTCTCGCAATCCGGACAGTAGCACTATAAACCCGTCCTTTGATGGAGAGACGGATATCATGGCGGCGCTACAAATGCCTTAGCCTGGAGAAGACGAGATGAGCTCTTGAGATACGCATCGAAATCTCGTTTTCAACAGCCCCACCAGCAGTTATGCAGCTTCCCAGGTATCACGACTCTCATTGATATTTATCAGACAGCCGCTGCATCCGGAGGAGCATACGCCGCGGTTTATCGGGACTCAAACACACCGCGCCATCGTAGTGACCATAGAGAAAACTAGCCATGGACTTATACCACTCAGGACACTGATAATGATCACCATTGCGTTCTATAGGACTGTGTGATTGACTAACAGGTTGTTACGCATGTATGCATTTTCTGTCACTATTATTTCGACCCATCTACTCTAAATGTCATACGACGTCTTGTAACGCTAACGTGCGCGCTGTTGGACGCCTGTTGGCGTAGTCGCAAAGTCATCTCGAACATTGAAGTATAAGGAACATCAGTGAATTCTACTCTGCCTTGCTCACTGCATTGCTGCTTACAGTCTTACCTTTCACTTCTTTCTCTTCAGGGTGACAGTTTCACCTTCATTATAGCCTATCACATCACTAACGGTCCCTATCAGGAAGTACAAATGCCCATGAGAAAAGGCGAGAAGGTAAGCTTACGTCCACCAGCCTTAAGATACTCTTTTCAGTATATCTAATTCGTTCTTCCGGTTCTTGCTTTGGTGCAACATCACTAGCTTTTCTCAGCTTGTCGTTCAGTGCATCGTGCTCACGTTCACTGCATGCATGCTTACATTTCCATCGATTGTTTAATTCTCCCAGGCCAACACTTTCTCGACATTCAATCGCATTGGTGGGTCTTTTGACTTCATTGAAAGACGTTCGGTTTTTCAATAGAGCATAGGGATGTTACGCCCCTTCGATATGTTTACCTATTTTTTCTGCATACCACATGCCTCTCAATGATTCGGATAGTATAAAGGACGTCGCAGTCGACATCTTAGAGAACCGTCCATTTCACAGGGAGTTATTGTGCGTAGCCACATTACTTTTTTTACTTTGTGCTCTCGTTTCCTGCCAGCTTTTGTCCCGTCAAGCTTCAGTTATAACTTTTTGTATCCACCTCAGTTCCCGCTCCATCCTTGTGCCATTTTGATTCACCGTTCCTTTCCCTTTCCTCTCAGTATTCGTTCGGATTCACCTTACCCATTTCCCACAGTCGAACAGCGGTGAACATGATTTTCTTCACCAAATCTGCCGAGCTACGACAGAGATGGCTGCAAGCTATTCAAACGTCCATGTACGTTTCACTATAAACACTGCCTTGTGATATAACGGGGTGCTAATCTGTCAGCAATCCTTTCATATTACCTCGCTGTTTTTTTCCACATTTGTTCGTGTGGGAACGATCAGCCGTGTCCGCTTGTATTCCCATGGTCCATCACGGGACTGCTGTGTCAACAACGACCTGTTTTCACTCAGCCTCAATCACCGTTCATCTGTTCTTCGTCCCTTCGCTCTCGAATTCTGCCGGTTTCATTCCCAGAATGTTTGTACTATATCCTCTTGATTGTGGACGGCGAAGGTTGGTGCACCAGGAACGAATCAGGCTTAACTATCCGCTAAACTTGTTTACCTGGCCGAACGTCATGCTTCATTCTAGCGACTTGTATGGCTAGGTCCTCGCATGTACGGCCACTCGGTGTTGAAGCGAAGTTACCGAAGCGTGTTCGCCACCCACCCGATCAATTGGACCTGGATCACATGCACATATTCTGATGCTTATGTCTAATGTTGGAGCCTCAGTAGTCGTTTGAGTGGTGCTATCGCCCCACAGAAAATGGGCACTTGGCACACTCACTAAACTGCTTCCTATCACTTTTAGGCATTCCATTCTTGTCTGATCCTTATAATCGCACAATTAATTTGTCTGGTATCCTGACCAATTGTGGAATCGCTCTTGCTCTCACGTTCGTCTCTATCTACACCAAGCCGTATTTCACACGTTTGTAGTCAATATATTTGCGTTGCACGTTAAGTCTACTGCAGTTGCGTCACGAACGATATTGAAGCTTCCTTTTTAGATATTTCGGTTTGCTTTTTTAACTCCTGGTATTATCTTTTTACCTATGCTGTATTCACGAAACTCACTCTCGTGGTACATTGGATACATTTACCGTTTACTAGATAATGGGCCTCAGGCAAACAGTGGCTTCTAGGTGCATCGAACGTTCCCGGGGTGCCTTGTGTGTAGGTGTGTGTGTGTGTGTACGGTAGCTTTTAAATTTTTTGAGAGTCCATCGCAGCAGCTTCAAAACCGGATAGTCATCCATATGCCCTGAGAAACGCTACACGACAGTCTCGTCCTCCACCAGTAACCCATCCATAGCCTCTCGACACAAGCGACATGTGCCACTAATTAGCTTCTTATGCCACTGAGCCATAGGGGATGGCTACAGACCGTCATGACCTACAGGCAGACGATGGTTTAGGGCGACATGGCCCCTAGAGTCACGGCAACCCATCACACCATTGCTGCCCGTATCCCGCGAATTTTAAGTCCCAGCCAGCATTAGAGGTCAATAGTATTGATGGAGGAAGCGATTTCATACCTACAGCTACTGAAACACATTACAACTACTTTGTAACTCCATCTATGATTATAAGTCCAGTTAAGGACCTCAGTATCTAGAGCAGCTTGCTTACCTGTTTGTAATGACTGGTCACAGACAACTCTTCCAATGTTCCTGTTGACGTTGGTGCCACTTGAAATACGGATCGTTTCACTGAACATCATCCATTCACTTCACTTTCTCGCAGGATTATCGATATTTCTGGGCAGATTTTTGTTCTTCATTTACATTTAGTGTCTAGTTCCCCTCTCATCATCAGCTAGGTTTTTATCCTTCAGTCACTTTTCAACGCTGCCTAATTCTGAACCACACGTTCCGTCCACTTTCGGTGTTTACCCTGCTAAAGTTTGTCTCGTCGATGTGGTACTCCACCCTGATCTCTGCTGTTTTATTAAAACCCTTCTTTTTGTTATTTTTTGATCTTATGCTAAGTTTCCCTTATAGGTACGTAGGATGATTGGATCAGCTTATCGTCGCAGTAACACTTATTCATTTTTGCTGAACGTTCACTTCTCATATACTGTCTGCGTAACGTATCTTTGTCCACACATTCCATTTGGATTATGACAGATCTTCGAAACCCCACCTTCTTTACTCAATATTATGTTAGTGTTGTATGTGAACACGTTTCTATCCTTTCAGCTCCAACCTCTATCCTCCAGGAGCAAAGGACAAAGGGTACAATTTTGAAATGCACACATTCCCTCATCCCACCTACTGCTGTGTATGCAATAAGTTGCTGCAAGGAATATTCTTCCAAGGCTATCGTTGTAGAGGTAAGTGTTACTCATTTCCTATTTTGCCCCCTTGATTTATCGTGCTGCATATAACGCATTGCTTTCTACACAGCGATAAGCCGCCCACCTCTGGATCCCAATGTCAAATCTACCTGGCATCAGCAGCATCCGATCTTCCAGCCATATTGCCTGCCGAAATTTATGTTGCGTTGTTTTCGTTGACTCTTCGACTCCATATGTTCTACCCTCCTCCAGCACGTCGGATCCTCTTATTGATTGTGCATATAACAAATTTGAGTATCCTGCTTGCCTGATGCCAATTTTCGAGGTAGTATGACTTCCCACCTTTAATTCGCACTTCTTTCTCCGTCTCTTAAGTCGTCTATTTGAAACCTAACTATCGTCCACCTTTCTTAAGTACCTTATGCGATAATTGACACATATTGACTTGTTAGGATTGTCCACCAGGATAGTGGCTAAACTAGCCTGTGTGCGTAACTTCGCCCACATGTCTTTCGCGCCACAGTTCAACTATACTTCGGGCACCATTATATGATCGATCTGACTTCCATAACTTGTACCACATCGTCGATTCACATCAAAGCGAGCTTCCTGCGCCCAGATAGGTGCGTTGTCAGCGTTTTTCGATATCGGCTGCAAATGATGTGCGATGCCACCTCCGAAGGCGCAGACTTGCATGAATGGAAAGGAGGAACACCGTGCACAGGAGTTACTCAAATAGAGTCCCGCATCAGCAAGTAATGATTGTACATCGTTGTATTTTGCGATTTTTGTGAGGAAAGCATCGTGGGTCAGCTTGCTATTCATTAAAGTGCTTCCGCGTGTTACCGAATCGTTTAGTGATAACATCTTTGAATGTGCTTATGATTTTATAGCAAAAATCTATTAATCTCATGTTGCGCGAGGTATCTCGATGTTTCTCAATATCAGCTGAAAGGACCGTGTTATTGATTTTGGAAACGGGTTAACCAAAGAAAAAGTCAAACATTTCTCGTGGAATCTGCTAAACTGCGCAGCAGACAGCGTGAGAAATAATCTTCCAGTGACAAGGCAATGACCACTTTAACCCATTTTCTGCTAAGTTTTGAATTTTTTTCATTTTCTCATATGTTATAGAAAACGGTGCAAAAATATTCACATGAAATTTGGATTTTGCAAATAAATGTTATTTTAGGAAATATGAGGATTTTTAACTATCCTTTTTAAAGGACGCCAGCAAGAAATGACTTCGGAATGTAAGTGAAAACATAAAACTGCGTTTTCTGAGCAGATGGTCATTTGTTTTCAGATTTGATGTGACAATGTTGCACATTTCTTTCAGTGTATCTAGCAGGGAATTGCCCGTTGTAAACGAATATGAAGCCCACATTTACACAAAAAAATGTGTTGTATCATACATGCGTAGTATGTCGTGGAGCGGGCCACATGTAGTGGTATATCACACACTGGGCAGAGTAGAAGAGCCATCTTTCCACAGTGTTCGGCATCTTCTTTGTTTCGGCATAGCTTCCAAGTGGTGTCCAGAACAAGATTTCCTGATGCTGTCTTCATCCTTTTATCGTTTTCTGCTGGGCTCAATAAGATTTTAGGGGCCACTATACTCTGCTAGCTACAACTGCAACTTGATTTTTACGACCTCTCGTTTGAAGCAAAGCATGCCATTTCCCTCTTGTTTATGTACAAGTGATTTTCTGTACAATATCCAGGCATTATTCATTGCAGCATCCGATGAAAAGTCGAATTGCGGCCGCTATCACCTCGTCACTTCGATAGGTGCTCACATGTCCCCCACGCAAGGAAGACTAGATGTAAAGTAAGACACCACCGTGGGCATTCTTTAGTCTATCGCATCGGAAGCACGAGTACCCGTTGAGTTCAAGTTCCTGGGTCTATAACTCTGAATGCAGCCATGTCTCTGCGAGTCCCACTACGTCTGGCCGCTCAGCCACAACGAAACAACAAAGCACATTGCCCTTATTCATAACACTGCAAACGTTTGTGTAGGCTACTCGCAGGCCGCAGCAGCAGCCGCCGGGCGTGCTTGAAGTGTGAGCAGCCTGTTTATCCTGATTCGCAGATTGTTGGAAACCACCCGGAAATTTACAATACGAAGATTTGTTTTCCCCCCACCAGTACGTCTTTTCAGCTCAATGATAGCAAATTTGAGCCGCTCCGTCTACTGGATCCAGGTTTGGACGAACTGGGATCTTCAAATCTTTCAGCCTACTTAGGCGGGAGGTGATCAGTCTTGGACTGGCTTCGTACACAAAAGTGCTTCTCATAAGCCGATTTTGTTGATCATCTTGCTTTCCAAGACGGGTAACCTGCCTTACTTTTACCGAGTCCTCACCAGCATCGAGGAGTCTATCAATTAGACACTGTAAAATCTTGACATAGTGATTGTAGTACACTTGGCCTGATGAATCGCTGGACTACGGCGCGTGGAAGACCACGAGGTTATAACGCCTCTGGTCGGACGAGGTTGACCTTGCAGGGGGAAGCATATTACCAGCCTCACGTGGTTTGACTAACTGTTGACTTAAAGAAGTTAAACACCCAACATCCCTCCGTAATTTCGTTCTTTGTTCTTTCCACTGGTTTTCAGCACTCATACTTTCACCTACTGGGACATCAGTGCCCGTTGGACACAACAAAGTAAACAATTTATGGCAGGTGCAACCGGGCTTCTCACAACGGTTGGACTTCGTGCCAGTGAGTTTACACGGGTAGTGGAGGAAGACTGAGCTGAAACCTCAAGTCCCTTCGAGCCAAACACACGGAGCTGTTCGCAACGGAATGATGAAGCCTACAGGTCGGCTTTACTCTTCATGGCTGTATCTTGTTTCGGCAATTTTCACACAAATTTTAAACGAAATCATGTTGGATTTCACGAAGACGATGAAAATGCTCAACTGATAATCCAACACATAAAATTTGGTATTTAACTTGGTACGAAACACACGTGAGGGCATTTGCACGGTATCCGACTATCTTGGAACAACTACCACAGAGTGACTGCTTCCGCATTGGGAATAATTCGAAAACAAGATGGCGGCCAATTGCTGGAGAAAATAGCGATAACGAGATTGCCGAAGCCAAGCGATGAAAACGCAAGTATTTCTGGTTGGAAAATTCAGAATCAGTAGTACTTCCAATGAACGAAGAAATCCAACACAACGTGATCTTGTCAATACAGCCAAAAATAACTGACCGGGGGCCGGTTATTCAATAAATATGTGCTTTTTATCCTTCGCCGACCACCTCTTCATCTTTGTCTGGGGATATGCGCCAACAGTGTTGCAGACAAGAGTCACAACGGGATTATCATTCCAAGACACAACGAACAAGTCATCTGGTCTGTCAACTCTGTAGTCATAAGTACCCCTGTTTAGTTTTCCTACGGTCTTCTTATCGATGGGGCACCTTTCTGCCCTATTTGCTCGAACTGTCCATGTTGCTCTTTTGCTTATGTTGATTAAGGCTTTCATGTGTGGCAAACCTGTAATAGAACTGTCAAAACAGATGTGTGAGGGTCGCTCCATCTGGGGCTTTTCCACTTGGTCTATAATAACGCCATGTCATATTTGGCCTGAGCTCTTTGGTAGAGATTCAGATAGGCGGCATAGCCTAGAGGCATCGCAATGTCCCGTAGTTTATACCCGAATCTTATACGCTTTTCTCTGATGCATTGCTTCAATCCACGACGGCCGTACTTTGAGATCATAGTTTCATCCATGCACATATTTTATTCCATGGGGAAGAATTGCATGAACGTTTCATTGAGTAGGTTATAAAGCGGCCGAACTTTTGCAACTTGGTCATCTGCTTGCAGATGTCATGGTTTACCAGATGAAAATATTTCATGATTGCGTCAATGTTTCCATACATTGACTGCTGGCTGCATTGTGGACGTCTTGCTCAGGATCCCAATACATGTGTATTCTCGGTAATAGATTATACCCAGAGCTAAGCAGATTAACGAGAAAAGCACTTATTTCAACCTTGGTTATACTGAGTGAGTGGTCAATTTTTGAACAATTGACTTACCATTTGCTCAACAACAGCGCTATCAAAAAAGCGTTCAAATGATTTATACAGCGTACACTTTAAAAATCAGTTTCACATTCACACCATTGTCTCTGAGTCTGTTATTCTAGACATAAGTCATTCTTCCTCCATAGACTAAAGCTGCTATCCTTTTGGGTTTTTCTTGAAGAAACAAGCATAGGGGCAGCAAGTTTCACCTGTCAACTTATATTCCAACTTTCTGGTTCCTCTTCGAATGGTTTGCCTTGCATGGTAACTACAATTACCGATGCTACACTGAGTAATTGTCTCGCTTACAAATCATCAAGAGATCCAGCATTTTGTATCACTTCATTGATAGCATCCTCAACAGAAGTTTGTCCATCACCCGGTGACGTAATCTAAACCTTGACTTTCAAGACATCTCTGTTTCTTCTATCATAGTAATAACATCTTATGCGGAAGCAATTTCAAGATTCCTGTTGAAGGAAAATGATATCACCAGATAAACTATAGTTTACATGCATTTTTAACAATGAAAATGAAATTAGAACGGAGACAGCTTGTTACTGCAGTTCAGTGTTTCACACTGCAATGGGATTAGCCTAATATTTCTTAACCTTTATTTTTTTTAATGCACGATACTTCTTTTATCTTGTTACCAATAACTCGGTCAGTTCCAAGCTACCTGGCGCGGTATAGTTTCTTCCTAGCGTCCTTTAAAAAAGCACTCGCTTGCAGCTCCTGCATGCAATGGATGTCGCACATTTTACATGCTTACATGTGATGTGTACTAGACATGTAATTTGACACAAATATTGCAAGTATTTGGTGCTTTTCAATGAATAATTACTCAAAGTTTACTCACGTTTTTGGATTTTTTTAATTTTATTGACAATTTGTGACTACACAAAAAGGGAAAACTATTTTTTCGAAACTAAACTTGGGCTGGCTAAACTGATTTCAAGAGATTGTGGATTAGTGTGTTATTCAAGTCTGTAACCAAAGCAACTGTGAATAATAGATTAATTCAACGCCTTAAGTCACTTTTTAGTGTCTTTAAAAGGACCCCAGCAGAAAATGGGTTAAAGTACCCGGCACGACATTGAAAAATTGCGAATGGCATAGCAAAGTGTCTCGCACATACTAACTCCCAAACGATTATTAATAACAAAAGGGTTGCTATGAAACTTAGGTACGTCTGACATGGTTGGCGGCATCCGGTTTCGGATTTGCCTGTCACAGTGGCAAGCCACAGGACGCCTGCGCCTACAGAGGGACCATGGATGGTTTGCGCTGCACCAACCACAGCTCCAACCACATACCCCATATCCAGTGTAAACCCGAAGGAATAAGACCGGGAGGCATGCGGTTGGGAACCACGTTTCATCAACGGAGCCGGCCCACACTCCTTCACAGGCAAACACAAGCACACTGTATTTGGGGAATCAAGCGCACAAAAGGCGGTGGCTGGACCGTAGTCCGCTCCATACTGAGTGCATGGAACCACTCTTCGAGCCTAACACGGCCACAAGAACCGTGCACCCCGTCCCCTCCAGCAACGACCAACTGTCTTCTGGAGCCAGTATGAACGATGTAGTGGGTAATAGACAGGTAGGCACCTTGTCAACATACACATCAAGCGCAACCATACCAGGGATATCAAACAACAGCCAAACACTTGAGAGAGAGAGAAAGAGAAAAACTCGATTAATGCATAAGGAAACGGTGATATAAACCTTAATTAAATAGCATACGTAATAAGTTGTTTACAAACAAATCCTAGCTAAGTGCACGAGGTCAGGAAATATAGTTCACGGAATGCCACACACAAAAATGTTATGGAAATCGAATACAATTGGCTGAAGCGATGTGTGCAAGTTAATGGAATAGAGTACAGGGAGATATTTATATGAGAAAGAAAAGCATTAAGGCACAAACTGTAAACCCACCACCTGAAATACGGAGACTTAGCATACAAGCACACGGTTAGTAAATCGAATTCAGCGTGCCTACAAACGCTGCGCCGGTGCTGCCTACGTTCACTGCGGGACCCGTCGTCGCTTCTGTAGTGGCCCCAAATGGCACAGCGCATGGCCCACTAGACATTTATATGAGAAAGAAAGGCATTAGGAGAGAACCGAAAACCCACCACCTGAAATAAAGAGACTTAGCATGCAAGCACGCGGTTAGTAAATCGAATTCAGCGTGCCTACAAACGCTGCGCCGGTGCTGCCTACGTTCACTGCGGGACCCGTCGTCGCTTCGGCAGTGGTCCCGAGTGACCTCTCTCATGGCTCACTAGGCCTGCCTGACTAAGGCACTCGCGACCGCATGTTCTACAACACAATGCGCTCGATGTCGATGGAGTACAATTCATCGGTGCTTGCCGCTTCCGCACTTGCCGCTTCTTCTCTGCATGCATGAGGGCTTTCTCCCGCACCTCAGCAACTGCCTTCGTGATTAGATCGCGCCATGCACCACGATCAACCGCCTTCGATTCCCATGATCTGCAATCAAGATGAGAACGTGTGAGGCTCACTTTAATCATGTCCTGGTAACGTAACTTTGGTTTCCCCACGTGCCGCTTTCCGATACTCAGCTGACCGTATAAAAGTTGTTTCGGTATTCGCGTCGAATCCATACGGCTCACATGACCGAGCCATCTCAGGTGTCGCAGTAAAAGTATGCCGTCCACTGCATACATCCCACTTCGGCGCAACACTTCCGTGTCTGCAACTCTGGCGCCCCAGCCGATCCGCAGAATTCGTCGCAGACACTGCTGATGGAACCGCTCGAGATATCGCACATCCCGCCGGTACATGGTCCACGTTTCACTGCCGTATAAAAGAACGGACAGTACCGTGGATTTGTACACCATCAGCTTCGTGCCAATGCTAAGCTGATGGTTGTTCCACACTCGTACTCAAGCTTCCCGAATGCCGCTGCCGCCTTCGACACGCGATTACGCAACTCAAGGTGTAGCTGCAGATCAGTCGACATCACACTCCCAAGGTAGCAGAAGCGGGAGGTGGTTTCCAATACTTCAGCACCAATGCTGATTTGCGGCAATATTGAAGATTGCACCTCCGGTGAAGGCTGAAAGAGACAGATTGTTTTGCTTGTTCAGTTCATTTAAACAGCTGCGATCCAGGCACCGAATTTCCTTGGATCCAGTTGTCACGATTCACCTCACCAGACTAACCCTATGTAACGATGATAAGAAAACGTGGCTCAATGTGAACTGAATGCATACAAAATAACATCAAAAAAGAAGAGCGTTAAGCTGATTGGAATGAAATGCAACTGAACAGCTAGATGCAAGAAAACAAATGTATGCTCACCACGGACTGTGCGACTGCGCCAAATCCTCATTCTACATTAGCTGAAGATATGAAACACCTCGGTTATTGTGCTGCTGTACCAACAGATAAGACTGCGAAAGTGGTATAATACTCATTACAAATATAAGAGGCAAAAACTTCCAATTTTGTGCTTACAGTCATATTAACCTCTAGTAGGAAATCGTGATCAGAAGGGGATGATATGCATAATGCGGGAGACAAAGGAACTCACAACACAAACGCAACTGAGGTTGGCTCTTCTCCGTACCAACCAAACCTTTTCATCGTCCTCGGGACCCCAACCCGGCAGTTGAGAGACACCAACCGACGCCAACTCTGAAGTGAAGGCCTTCCTTCCTCATGACTGTCATCTGTAGCCCTCTCCTCTTCGTCCATCAACACCCGATCGCGGAAGTTGGCGCGCTGACATACGCATGGACTATTCATTTTAGTCTGGTGCGTGAGCGGTTCAGTTGCTCTTCTTGCACCAAATACACGCGGTGTTCCCACCAGACAGGGGCTAAACTGGGAAGGCAGCTTTGGTCCGAGATGACAAGCCTCTTTATGTCTGTCGACCTGATGGACCAGGTTTCACACCCATACGCGATACTTGAACAGACGGCTGTATTGTAAACACTGCCCTTCAAAGCGAGAATGACGTCACATCGGCGTCGCAGTTGACAGAGATCAGCATAGTGCCTCGAGCTTTTGTTGCTCGGTTCGTAACCTCATCTCCTTTTCTACGAGTGCTGCTGTCGCTGCCCAGACCCTTGAATTTCTTGACGATTTCAAACTGATCACTGCCAAGGGTCAGCGCAGCAGTGGGTCCCTGCCAATCTTGGAGAAGGACTTTGCATTTAGAGGGTGCAAAGCTTGGCCCGAAACGACTGACAACCAGAACTGATTTATCCAGTTCAGTTTACCACGTTCGGGAGCTGTCACAGGGCAGTGTCGTCGATATACTCCAAGTCAAGAAGTCGGTCACCTGGAAGCAGCTCCACGTCCTGTGCCCTTCGAATGCCGTTTCCATCAATTCGTCGATGGTGAAGTTAAACAGGGGAAGGTGACAGCGGGCAAATTTGTTTCACACCGCTGGAGACATCGAATAGTGGCGAAAGTTCTGCTCTGGGATCTCGTTGCGTTCGCTTTCTGCCGCAATGCGTCGGGGAGTACCCACTACTTCCTGAGACTGCGTAGAGACTTAGTGTGTAGGTTAACAGTCAGATTTGCCACATGGATGCTCGTACTGCTATTAACGTCTGACGAATATTCCACTAATGACCTTCAACTGTGTTCAGCGAGTACATACTCAATCTGCATGCCGGCATGGTTTGGTATGCATTCATAACATCTGGCTTCGCCGGCTGGCTCATGCCCATACCCTCACAGCCACCGCAGGTATCCGACGAAGCGAACTTGAAGATCAGCGCTTGTGCTCCAAACGGAGCTACAGTTCCGGTCACAGCATTTCCAACCTTAACTGATCGCGATGTGGTCGATTCACGTGCATAGGTTGTCTGAGGCTGGTAGGCGAAATCTCACTCTTTTGTAGATGCTGTGTCGGATGATAGTGCTCTCGGGATATAGACATGCTTCTTCGCGCAAGCGCAGCAACCACTCATCATTATCATTACGCGAGTCTGCACCGTGTTTGCTTCGCAGATGCGATTCATCGGTGGACAGTTTTCCAACCTGGGCGTTCAGACCACTATCCTTAATTGTTCTGTAACGAAGGAGCCCGCGTCCTGTTGGTGATAGAAGTCATTTTCCTACCGAATCAGCGCTACAGTTTGTATGGGCGTAGCCAACATTGACAAAAGGACATTGTATGTCCCAGCTCCAATTTGAACGAGCCAGACAATCTGACTGAGCACATCCGGCCGTTGATTAGGATTCATTTCACCTGGGCAGCTTCAATCTGGACACTCAGAGCAATGCCCACATCGGCTTGAGAGATATTCGAAACTGCATTATCTCCAGCTAGATGCAGTGAGAAGTTAGGATGAGCACAGAGCTGGAGTCATGCAGGTAGGTTCTCGATAAGTAGCAGCTATCGATTGATACGGTTTCCAGCGTTCGGACAAGTGCCACCTGTTGGCCACTTTATGACAGTACACACGTTAAGGCATGCCAGTCATAGCGGGAAGCGAGGGCTCTAATTAGAAATAGATGAAATGATGTTTCCGCTTGGTTGAACGTGTGACTGTCGGCTTGACTGGAGCGGCGCTTTGCGAGTCGTGTGACTTGAACTCAGGAGCTAAGCGACTATCAAAGCACAAATTAGGTTGAATACAAGGTGGATAAGTGAAGTTGGGAGGGGACCATAAGGAAAAATGCGCAAAATGAAAATAGGAAGACTGGAAGTCCTGAGCAGTGGCGTCCTCATCCCTATCTACCCAGTTCTTTGCATCAATATCATTATTGATAATGATAATGCAGATAGAGCGCCGTTCCTTATCCTCTACGACGACCAGAGCATCAAGAAACTACTGCTTCAAGAGACACTCGTTGTATTCATCCTCACCAACAGCAATATATCAGTCATTTGGGACTGATGCTTCGCTGCCATAATCCCGTCACGACCTACGGAACGAAAAATAGTAAGAGGGCGAGAAGGGGGGACTTATCAGAAAACCTTACTGCCCTAAGTAAACAGTCAGGGTCTAGGCGCCTACAGCTTGTGTAAACAACATGCCGTCACAAACAGCTGGCTATCGTACAAAGATAAGGCGCACCAGCGAGATAGGAGGTACTTTGCGTCCTACACTGCCCCGCGTCACAGCCAATATCCCTCAGATAGCACATCATCAAACGCACTTTAAACGTGCAGTCCCACTAGCATACGATAGCAAACACGCCACTGGTGCCGATTGCGAGCCATGTCCTTTGACGTGTCGATCCATGCACAATGAGGGTCACGTAGACTTTAGCCCGGAAGGCGCGGCGGACCAACGGCACCCTGTTTGGTCGTCAGTGACTTCATCTCCCGCTGCCAAGTTAACTTTGCCCGCCTCGAGCCCTGCGCCGCTCATCATTTGGCAGACAAAACAAGGCTCTCAGTGAGCAGTGACCGGGCATGAAACCTCGGGCAATGAAACACTATGATGGGATTCACGACGAAATTGAACACACATGGCGAATGCGACAATGCTGATATATATATATATATATATATATATATATATATATATATATATATATATATATATATTGACCACGTCGCCATCAGTTGTCGCTGCGAGGTTACACACAGAAGTTAAAATTAATCTGGATTACCCATCTCACATCAGATCACTCGCCGGTGTCTTCAATTTCGCGCTGTTTTGTGACTCCCAGCAGCGTCGCCAAAATCGGATAGACGTGGCTAAGTTTTCGATCCCGAACATTCTCCGCGCATTTCAGGATGCTTTGGCCTCAAGGCTGAGGACTGCCTTATACACATACATTGGAACACTGAGCACACATCCGCGGTGCTATGTACAATTCTGTAAATCTGCTCTGTGGCTTCACCAGTAGTTCTGTCAACCACTGGTTCGCTGTTCGATCTCTTCAACTTCTGGAAACCAGTCGAGCAATTCATACTGGCGTTAGATATCACTCACTGCGTAGGAATGTCAATGCTAAGCTCAAACAGCTTCTCTGGGAAGATCTCGAGGCCTGGTGGACGCAGCGAGTCATTGAGATGGAGCAAACAGCCGCCTCAGGCAATTTCTTTAAGCTTTTACGTCTTATCCCATCCAGTGATGACAGAAGGCAAAATGTTAACGAAGTCTTATGCGAAACCAATGGCGAGACAATCCATTGTCAGAAACGCCGACTTGTGCGTTGGACCAAGCATTTTGAGCACCAGTTCATTTGACCAGCAGCACCGATGGGTTCCATTCGGGAATCTAAAATGTGCCTCCTGGTGTGTTAACGCTTAACCATTATCTGAGGTTGCCCATTATGTTTTGCCTCTTAAAAATCTGTGGTTTAGGTGAACTCCGTCCTGCCCTTTTCCAAGATAGAGGCCCATCACGTGTTTGAGTGTTAACTTCCCTGTTCCAAGAGCTTTGTGTCACCGAAGTTATCCCATCTGTTTGGAGTCTAGCGGATATTGTACCTCTCTTTAAAGTGGCTACCCGAGCTGACTGCGCCAACCACAGAGGAATTGGTATTATCCGTGTTGCTTCCAAAGTGTTCGCTGCTTGGCTTTTAGGGAGGCTCAGTCCGGTACGCGAAAAGAGCCTACGTGAAGCGCAAGCTACGTTCCGCTCAGATCGGAGTTGTATTCATCCCATTTTCACACTCCGCTAAATACTCGAGCGTTGTCAAACATTTTATCGGTCAACGATCGTTGTCTTCCTATACGTAAGAGTCGCGTTTGACTCAGTTGACAGAAGTGCTTTCTGGAATTCTCTGTTAATAAAGGAGTGCCTGAGAACTACGTCAGCATTTTACGCGCCACGTATTCTCGAACCTTGGGCCGAGTGCGCGTGTACGGCTGACTTTCTCCGTCCTTTTGTATCACTAGTGGCGTGAGACAGGGCTGTCCAGCACCCCCTTGTTGTTTACTTTCGCTATTTACGAAATCCTTTAGAGTGCTCTGGACAGATGCAAATTCAGTGGCGTTAAGCTGCTTTCGCGGGACCGACTTCGGGATTTTTACTATGCAGACGACATCGGCGTAATCTGCGATCCCTCACAGGCCGCCCAAAATGTACTGTGTAGATTGTAGGTGTCTGTCTCTCAGTTTGTAAGCACATTCGCTACATTGAAATGCATGGTTTTTTTCCAGTACTGGCTGGCCGCTTCTCCTATCCCTATCCTTTCACGTCATTCGTTGGAAGTGGTGGACAAGTTCGTTTACGTCGGAAACTGCCTCATCACTAATAATTTAACGTATGAGGTCCCTTTGTTCGTCTCCACGACTCATTTTCCTTTCGTTAATCTTCACCATCTTTGGCATCGAGGCGATCTGAGTTTCGCTGATGTGCTGAGTTTACAATGCTACGGTGAGAGCGGTCCTGCTCTATTGCTGCGACACTTGGCCTGTTCGTGCAAAGGATGTTGGGTGGCTGTCTACTTTTGATCACCTCTGCGTTCGGAGCATCGCAAGTGTACGGTGGGAACATCACATTAATGATGTGGATGTTCACCGAAAGATTTTCAGATCAGACAGACTTTGTGGGCCACTGAGCAGCATAATTTTACTGCGCAGACTTTAGTGGCTTTGGTCATGTACTTCGCATGCATACTCATCGTTTACCTCGCCTTACGCTGATTCTGCTGGAAGCGAAAGCAAGGTGACTTGGGCCAGAAGTATGAAGGAAGTAAGGTTATAATTAGTCGTGGCCAGGCGCTACCAACTCCCTGGCTGAAGTCTCAAGGATCACGGAAACACATTGTTGGAGACGCTGTCGAATATGGCAACAATCCGTGCACATTGGCGGACCTGTTCTGACACACTACTCCCATTAACACTGTTTTATATTCATTTCCTCTCTCTTCGTTTATTTATTTTATTTCCCATACGTTGTGGCACTATGACAATTGTACTGCAGACGACATGCTGAATATATATATATATATATATATATATATATATATATATATATATATATAATGGTTGGCGGCATCCACTTCCTGATTTGCCTGTCTCTGTAGCCTCCATAGGACATCCACAGGACGCCTGCGCCGAAAGAGGGACCATTGGTGGCTTGCGCTGCATGACGCACAACTCCATCCACACACCCCATATCCATTGTAAACGCGAAGAAATAAGACCGGGAAGCATGTGGGTGAGAGCCACGTTTCATCAACAGAGCTGTCCCACAATCCTTCAAAATACATAGCAGTAGCATTCCGGTCTATTGATATGGGAAATCATGCGTACCATACGTACACAATGCGGTGGCTAGGCGTTAATCCGCTTCACACTGTGTGGAACCACTCTTCGAGCCTAGCACAGCCACGATGACCGTGCACCCCGTCCTCCCTAGCAACCACCCTGGAAACAGTTTAATCGAGGCGCAGGGTAATACACAGGTAGGCACCTTGTCAACATTCACATCAAGCGCATTCAAACCGGGGATGTGAAGCAACAGCCAACCATGCGAAGTGACAACACCAAATAAAATGTATCAAATCAAGCATGCGAATATGCTGACCTAACTCTTCGCTTAATTAGCATATGGAATAAATGTGTTCTCAATAGATTCACGATTTGTCTAAATTTTCAGAGAAATGATCAAAAAATGCAACAAACGCGAAGAAGTTTAACGAACTTAACCACTTTTCGTTGAAGCAACATGTGCAAGTAAATAGAAAATTTAAATTGGGTATCGCCCGCCCGAAAACACTGAGTACGGTCCCAGTGATCGCAGTGACTAAGGTTCACTTCAATCTGAATCATGGTCCATTACATTGACATTGCGCGTCGTAATCCAATCACACAACGTGTAGTCCAAACTTGACCCTTCAACTAAATAGAAGATTATTCAGGTCGACATTAAAATGACGTAACAAGGCAATAAAAAACAACACGTAACCACATGGTTGGTAAATCTAATAGAAGCGCATGCAGCGTACCTTCCAACGTTACACAGGTTCTGCTTACGTTCTTTTGAGGACCCGATTTGCGAAAATATGTACACAGTTTGGTCCGCACCAACTTGTGATCAGGGCCACACTCAGCTCCACGCAGTATACGTGTCATGCGCACTCACCCATGTTGCGCTAAGGTACCATGACATATTCGAGCCGGTGAACGTGACCACTCTGTGTCTGCGTCCAATTTGCTGTCTTACTCCCATTCAATGTAAGCTGTGTGTTCATGTTCGTCAGGTCTTGAGTATTACACGATGAGAGCAACCTGTTAGCGTTTTCCCTCGCTGAAGCAATGCCATACGGACCGATAACATCTGTCCACACCAATGTCTCACGCTCAAAACGCGCGTTGAAATCACCCTGCAGTAACAGTCTGTCGGCCCTCATCGCAGACCGTATCACCTAGGATAACTGAGTGTATAGTTGATCACACGTATCATCTGGATAACACATAGTCGGACCGTACGTTCTGATAATTGTGGCAAACTTATCTCTTCCGAGTTGTAGGCGAACAGTCATCAGTCGCGCGCTGATGCCAGTTAAGTCATCCACCAACTGACCATTTGGGCGATCAGATGATACAAGTTCGACCCCATGTTCACGAGGTGCTGAGGTTGCGTTTTCCACCTAGTGGAACGTATAGCCGATACCAGCGACCAACGATACCGTACCCAGTTCGGTTCCGATTGCTTACCTGGCCTGTCTCTGTAGTCCAGTGTGTCTAATTCGCTTTGCATGTTACATGTTCTGAGAACGCAGATGTCCGGCGGTATTACGACTTACATTGCTTGCGTGGCGTTGCTGCTAGCACCTCTGTATTTCTATATTCCGTTTTCTCACACTTGCCAAATTCTCGTACATGTGGCCTGAAGTTTTGCCAGCAGACGCTTCACGAGACACTGTACTTTGGTGTGCATTCCGTGAATATCTGTTTTACCCTTGCTTCTTTCGGTGTTTCCGTTGTCCAATTTTTGATTGCTTCTGCCTTCTTTCGGATTCCTCCAAGGGGCAGACTTCCTTAGGTTAACTTAGCTAACTTCACACCATCCGTTCCATTTACTGATATACCGATTTCTGCAAACCTTGACATGGTCATTTAAATACATGGAAATCAGTGACCTTAACTGCTTGAAAGCTGCTTTATATATCACTCCGTTCTTTTGATCCTCCATGTCAGCCTTTTTAATATTCTGTCTGGTGGACTTTTGGAAATGCGAACGTGACTCGATTCTACACCTGCTTGGTTGCTAATCTGCCTTGGTTAGTTCATTAACAGACAGACTTCTATCTAGAGGGATATCTAGCCTGTTATCGATCGGTAGGTGGCGGGATCTCACGTCATGTAACTTTTTTGTGCAGTATTTCTACCTTTTTCAAACCATAGCATACCATCGATCTCTGTCCTTTTCCTCTGCCATGCATCTGTCAAGCGCGAGATGTTAGCCGATCCCGAATCACTTTCCCCACTTGCCTTTAAAATCGCTCTCACCTGTATTGGGTTGATTCGTTCGGTTTGTTGCTTCTCCCTACAGCATATGTTGTATTAAGTACTTGTACGCCCTTCTACATACATACTTTCGCACGGTATGCGGCGCGCGTACTCCGTTCCGATTCGAGCAGTGCGAACAACATTGCTACACGTTATTCACCATTGATTCATATCTTTTGGCGGCTGTTTTAGGCTCTGTAATGCTATCTACTCTTTAGCGTAAAATACATCTGACTTCTACTTTATCTACCTTATTCACGTGTCAGCTTCCCTGCCTCATTACCTGAGATGTTTTCTCGGTGTGATCAGCGGAACCGACATCACATTCTATAATTGCCAACTTTTCTCCATAAGCTACAATATTCCGTAACTACAGCCCCAACTCCTTATTCCACTATACAAATTCATCACTTGTCACTCCCTACGCAATGTCTATGTGGACAATGTCTTTTCCCACTCGTTGGTGTCTGATCTTAGAAGTGGCATAGTAGAGTTACACTTCGTGCATTGATCTGGTCATTCTTGTTGAGGTGAGCCACGAGTCTGAATCCACAAGGGATTGCTTACCTCTTCGTCTGCATTCACTCTTCCGACGTTTGGGTAAGTGGCAAGAAGATAGAAACTAGAGCAACCAGCTGAGCTACATCTCAAGGCCGAACGGTCAACTTGTAGAGCGACCGACCATAGGCACCTTTGCGGATCGGCTAGGCTTGCGGATCAGGATGCGCAAAACACTGTGCGTTATCAATTTGACCCATCCCTCGAACTAAACATCAATCATACGTCAAACTAACGGACGAGACTTGCGATGGTTTTGCCATGTAAAAACGCACATCGTTTTCATGTCAAGTAGTTTTCTGACCAAAGCCTAGCTTGATATTTTGCGTTCTCACTATGCTACGCCACATGAAGAGAGAGAAAAAGAATACATCGATGAACAAACACCAGCTTTACTTCGGATGATAACCGTCAATCGCCATGCCGACTCCCCTACCTATGGGAGTGGATTTGCTGCCCGGAAATTGGCGACTGTGGAAAACAAAGTGGGCGCTTTTCTTTATACTGACACAGTTGAACAACCACTCTGCAGGTTGGCAATTGACGATGTTCCAACATGCTATCTACGCCGAAACCACGTCTTTGGTGGTGATGATAAAATCCGACGATGAACATGAAGAGCTTGATTTGGGTGCCGTGATCCCGAGATGCGATAAGTTCTGTGAAGGAAAGACGCGCAGTCCATGCACTCCATATGCATGTAAACTGATTAGATTTTTTCACTTAGTTATCACGCAATGCGCATATATTTACGAGAGCTGCAGTGCATGGTTCAGTGTATTAGGTTTAAGACTCCTGAGGTTTTATCTTCCTATCATCGCTGGTGTCCATTTTCCAAACTTCTGGAGAGCCTTACGATAATTCATCATATGTTGATTCTGACGATGCATATAACAGTGGCACTTTATCTGTACACAGTGACCGACAATTATTTCAATTGCGTTTTAGTACAAATTATTTACCTGTAGTGTCTCTTTTGTCTACTCCATAAGCATTCAGAATGTCTTGCCACTCCACCCATCTTGACTGGCGTCGCTTCCTTTGTTCTCCTTGAGTTCGATTGGGTTTACCGATGCAGTGGCTGTTTCGTCTTGTCCTCATTCCGAACTTACTTTGCTACCGATACAACATGCTCATAGCTTGCTGAAAGTGGGGATTCTGGAATCATGTCCTTAGTTAGCGCTGTCGACTAATATACCTTCCTTTTTCCTGGCGTATCACCTAGCTTTCAGGATGCTACGTTCCCAATTTTTGCTCCATTGTTTCCAATCTAGAGTTCACATGCCACTACACCATTAAGCGATGAGATCCTCATTTCCGCTTCCATACACTTGCTTAGGCAGACATAGTTTCAATTTGTTCACAAAGACTGTACATGCCTGCAGGCCGCAAACTGCTCTTTGCTGGTTCTTCTTCTCAGACTCAGTGCTGCTTTCCTTTCATTATCACACGGTACCGACGCTCTACTTGTGTAGTTTGTTGCGTGTTTGCCGCTGGATTTATGCACAGTTTTGCGTTTCATTTGTAGACACGGGTCTCGCGGCGCACAAAGCTTGTTTGGCTATGAACAACCTGCCGCCTCGTACTGGCACCACGAACCCATCCGGAACCTTACAATTAAACGGCATTCATCCTATCGCTCCCCAGCCCCCACCTCTGCCTCCTTCTCAGTCTGGCACTTACCGTGGCCGACACTTTCAATCTGGTCCTGGTCTCACTTCTTCCGCGTCTGCTGCAGTATTGGGCATGTCTTCCACCCTAAACCACCCATGCACTCCTTCGCCATTCCATCACTCTAATTCCAACGATCTCTCCCACTTCTCGGAGGCGTTGTCGTTTATGAATCACTGCTTCGCCACCGATGCCCCACAATATCAGCAGCAGTGCCGTCGCACTGCCTCATCGCTTGCTGGAGGCCACTCAGCACATCCTGCCCAGCCATCTTTTTCGGTCACCGTTCGAAAGGCTTATCCTTACGATCCGCAGACGCACATGGTCGATTTCTCGCTTTCCTTGCAGCCGGGGGACCGGGTAGAGGTGTTAAATTGGTCAGACGACGGCGCCTGGTGCAGAGTACGTCATTTTTCTTTCATTTATCACTTCGGGCGTCACGGCGCTTAGTGCTATATTCGCGATTGATCGGGCGTAAAGCCGACACAGCAAAGACTTCACCCCACCAAACAGAGTATTGGCAAAAGCTCCTCACACAATACAGACAGCACAGCCGACAACATAGGATAAGGTAGAAGAACGTGTCAAGCAAACGCCACATGATCGGCGACTTCATATACATGAACCGCGACCGAGCAGTGGGGCAAACCAAAGCAATTTCCTAGTACGTGCACGTACTGGGCACCGGATCACGAGACCCACATGTTTGCGGTCCCTATGATCTCTATGGAACCTGACACCACGCAGCCTATATGCAACAGCTGGTGTGCATCGTTGCAGTCATCGGACCAGGGCACCAGCTCTGTAGGGCTACAGTTGTGTTCCTCAAAACGCATTACACAAAAGTTAACGATTAGTGTACAAAAATCCATTGGAAAATTAAATTATCATTCCTTAATGACATTCATTCAGGTCGAGCTTCATCTCTACTGCGCAATAACTATGAGGGCGCAGGTGAGCATCCCACCATCGCGTTCAATGAGTTCTACCGCGACCACGTCGTGTCCGATGTGGTCACAGTACCGGCTTATCGGCTTTGCGTTTCAGACTAGTGTTTAGTGGATCCATCTGTCATCCCTCACTTCACGTTCTTTCCGCATGTTTGCCGTATTGAATTCCACTATATACTTTGACGCAGAAGAAGTTAAGAACCTATCCCGAGAGAGGATACGAACGTCACCAAATGCTGAACACGATTGGAGAGGGAGCATGCTTATTTGCATAGATTCGTCATTAAGTTAAAACACCTGGACAGATTAAACTACAAGTGGCTCAAGCTATTTAGCGGTTATACGTCTATGAAACGAAACTTACGGTTAGTGGGCTGTGATATATATATATATATATATCCCTCTCAGGATTTGCCTGTCACTGTGGCCCCCATAGGGTCAGCCACAGGACACCTGCGCCTACAGAGGGACCATGGGTGGCATGCGCTGCACCACCCACAGCTCCATCCACGCACCCAATATCTAGTCTACACCCGAAGGAATTAGACCGGGAAGCATGTGGATGAGAACCAGGTTTCATCAACGGAGCCGGCGCACACCCTTTCAACATGCACATGGGCAACATTCTAGTCAGTCTAATTGGGGAATCATACGTATCTGACGTATACAACGGTCTAATAAATAGCCATAGAGCCAACAAAAATCATGGAAGGCAACGGATGACAGGTAGTCACCGCAGCATCATCATTATGGCACATTAGTTAAAGATCAGCAGCACCCTTCAACTATTTTGCCCCAAGTAAAAACGGAACACCTTTTTGTTATTTTTTCACATGCCATTTTTCATTTTTTGTAAATTTGTAGTTGTTATGCGTTAAGCATCTGAATCTAAACATGTATATGCCTAATTATTCTGCTGGTTTTGATTGCGTGACATATCATGCATTGTTTCCAGCCATCGACAATCTTCGTCCTTAGATCCCCCACCAGACAGGCATGTGGATCCAACTGCAGTCAATGATTTCATATGCTATCCCCAGGTGGATGATTGACCACCGCGTGGTCTCTTCCAGTCGTGCTGTGCGAGCGAACAGGGCGCGATAAGACAAACCCTCAGCTGACATACACAGGACGTGACCGAGCCGTCTTAACTGGCGCAGTAAACCCAGCTTGTTCAGGGGAACACTTACATTCCCTAAGACACGACGGCTGACTTCACTGATGCTCATATGTTGTTGCCACCACACACAAGCAATTCTCATCAAGCACCCATTTTCGCAGATGGGGAGCGTCGGCGCATGTTATCTACGCGACCCGGCCATGGCTTCATGCTTGCGAATCGTAAGGCGATTGTCCCTGCTGTCACATTGTGCTTTGTTTGGGTATTCTTGTAACAACTGAAGTACGTCGTTCACGAGGTTCATTTGTTCTATCCAATGCACTCAGTGCGACGACATCGCGTTTGCCAGCATCCTCTTAACATAGTTGTAGCGCTGCGAACAGCAGCGTGCTAGGACTCTTTTGGACAGTTGCCTGGTAGTTTCCAAAATATACCCTGATTGAGATGGATAAGAGAAACTGCGCACACAAAAGAAAATCCTGAGCGCGGCTCTCTTTCTTTGTGTTTCAGGCTCTCAGCGTTTGCATTGGCGAAGCTAGTGCGCGTATATATAAATACATATGTGCTTTACTCTAGACACTGCAATGCTTGCGTGTATATGCATGCTCATGATAAAACCATCGTGCATGATCGGAGAATGTGTAACAATGTTGCAAGTTTACCAGTAACATGTGTGATCTATGTACGTATGAACGGACATCTGTTAAACTTTTTCACTCTTCTGTCTGAAGACATAATTGGAACCGATTGAGAATCCATTGTTGGCAAGATTAAATGCAAATGTTTTTTATTCTGTAGACCTTTTGTCCTTGTTGGAGGATCTTTTTCAAGCCTGGTTCACTTTTTTGCATTGTCATTAACTTCCTCCAGCCGATTTAACTTTTTATGATACATCGGGCCCCCGTTTTTTGATCCAGTTCTCCAACCTTTGCATTGGCATTGGGGATCATTGCTCTACCATCCATCTTCCATCCTATAGTTTGCTACCTCTTCATGCAGTTCGCTATACCTGTTACGATACACCTAATGACTGAATGTTTTTCGGGCAAACAATTATTAGAGCATTTTGCACCATTCATTCTTACTTATTTTCCCATGGTTGCCATACGCGCACCTTATTTTGTTGATACGTCAGTGGCAGTGTCGATCAGAACCACCGCAACTGTGTACTAAGAAAAGCAAGCGTCTCTCAGTCTTTGGTGCCTGTGATGTTCCCACAACTTTACCGAATGCCCAGAAACAACTATGCTGAGTTATCTCTCTTAGTTAACGAGAGTGCCCGCTTGGCGCTGATCTGTTTGATGGAAACGCACAGCGGTCACCTTGAGGGAGCACGTTCCTCCCATACGCATTCACCAAATAATTCGGATATTGTGTTCTCAATCTGTGCCTGAAACAACTGTGTTTTAACGCGGTACAAGGGTCTTATGTGGATAGATGTGGGTTTATGAACGGACTCTATATTCTGGTTCTGTAGTGACTGGGAGATCAACCATGTCATTGCTGAGAAATGCCTCATTAATTACGGCCTAAAGTTTATTCGCACATTTGTACTTTCTCCAAGACCTGCACTGCTTCTAGTCTTCTCTTCCAATGATTGTACCTTTTTCAAAATCAGCCCTATTTCTCTTCTTGTCAAGGTTTCAAATTTCACGGCTGCGATTTGTCAACCATATGCACCGTGTCTCGATATTGCGCTCACAGATGACAGCCAGTTTGATCCTGACCTCATAACAACATGGTACAGTACACCAGCTGTCGGCGTACCACCCATGCACTTTAGGAGGATAGTGGTTTTTGCGACACGCGTTTCATATCCGTCGACATTTTTATCAAAATTCAGCCCACATAAATCAATCATAGTGCATGTTCATTTTGGGTTGCGGTTTTCGGTTACCTTATAATCTGGGTGTCAACCGATACATCTCGAATTCCATCTCAGCTCCTGCTGTAGTCATCTGCAGAGTTCAACAAGGGATGAAGTCGGTGATGGGAGCAAGCAATTTGATTGGCCTGTCCCAATCTATTCACACAAAGAGTACCTCAAACTTACCCTCCACTAATTCGTAGAAGTGTATGCATCACTCGGCAATCCCGAAATCATGAACCGTATAGCAAAAGCTTGAGGCGCTTTTCCTAACCTTCGTCATTTATGGCGCCGAAACATCACACCCTCTCTGCAGGGTAACGTGTACAATGCAGCCGTCCGTTCAACTCTCCTTTACTTCTGTGAAACCAGAAAGAAGTAAATGGTATGTGACTCGCTGGTTCGTCATGGAAGTCAACTTGAGCACACTGCTCTGGTCTTGCAACCTAGTTTCGGAAAGGCAGTATATATCAACAGCTAGCGGTTCCAGAGTGCGTGCTGGACCGGACCGTTACCCAATCTGCATGAGTATTCGAACATTGAACATAGCCAGCAGAAACGTCAGTCGTGGTCGAAGGATTCTCTCAGACCGTATTTTGAGGGCATTATCGAAACCTGTGTAGGGGTTAAATCTAGTGTAACACTGATTATTCAGATAAATGGTTGGCGTGTGACGGAGATTCGTGAGAGACGACGAGAGCGGAACAAGAGCGTGTAACGTAGTAGTGTGCTCTATGGTTTCTGCAGCGGACACGGTACTGCACGGTTGCCCAAGTCGAAATAGAGAATTGTCTTAGAGGACTCCACCTCGAGGCTTTGGCTGAATACCTACCAGTAAAGCAACAGGGCGAATTCAGGGAATCGCGCTTATTGGGAGCCGGTGACCGATTTTTCGGTTCATACGCCTTTCGTTTGGTAAGGCACGAAACAGAGGCCTAATCTTCCCTATAATTTCGTCACAAAACTGGTAAAGTACACGGTCTCCCCGATTGAAGCGAAAGGTAGTAGCGAGTCACATCCGCCACGTTGCAGTGTTGTTAAGCAGACAATTGTGACTTTTTATCGGAAGTACGCTGGCTAAGCGAAAACCCACTTCGTCCTGCAACACTGCCACTGAACCATTTGTTGTGTCGAGGTCAGTCTGAATCACTCAGCTGGCACCACGAGGAGGTTGTTCGGCTAGCCAGCCAGTAAAAGGGGGGCAGGCAATACCTGTCTTTTTTCATCAATGTGCGAATCCAGTGCTGGAACTGACCCATATTTATTTCCGAGCAAATCTTCGTCCAAATTGCCATCGCGTGTCGCAATACGTTTGCGTAACGAATGTATTCAATGAACCCACCAAGACGTTCGTTTTGATTTCATAACGCAACTTATCTCGGATTATGGTTCCTCCTCCACTACTCTTCCCCAATCTTTTGTGCCCTTTTCTCTTATGTGTCATGGTTTAAGTCAGTCATCTTTA